TCTTGTTCTTTTCATGCCCTTTCATTCACATTCCTTGAAATCTGCAGCCATACCTGCTTCTAAACACAAGAAAAGAGAAGAAAAAAAACTTGACAAAAACCTTGACTGAATGTTCTCCATTTCCTTCGTGGTTCAAAATATTTAATTCTGAAATAACCAGGCATCCTCTCCTTCCTCTCTACTGTTAGCAGCTGCTGTACATCTTCTGTGCCACTTCCCAATGTACTTCAAATCCTCCCAGACCCCAGAAAAAAGCAGGTACTTGTACAAAACCAGTAACGCATCAATATGTTTTCGGCTGTTGCAATCTTTATATCTGCACCACTGGAGATGATTATCTAGCTTTTTTTATCTATAGATCCAGGCCCGTGGAATAATAGTAGGGCCAATAAAATAAGGAAGCAAAGAAAACACAAGCAGAATGAAAAAAGCAATTGAACATGCTATAAATTCAGAATCAGGTGAAAGCTAATTATGGCCACACTCACTAAAAAGATGAGGACACAGTGAGGGAGACAGACTTATTAATTATTTGTGTTATGGTAGCACTTAGAAGCCCCAATCCTTTATCTGGGACTAGCTGTGCTATACATGGCAAACACTCAACTGTATCTTTGGGTAATTGCACAGTTATAAGGAAAATGTGCAAATGCTCTGTTCTTTCACCTTCAGCAGTTTCTGGTTTGTTAATGCTGTTAAAGGAGCCCAAGCTCACCATCAATCTCATTCTGAGCAGCTGGCAGGATGGTGTCATGGGCCAAAGAACAAATAATTCAGCATGAGGTCACCCTCCACCCATAGCTGGATTGGGAAAACCACAGCAAACCCCCCAAGGTGGGCATGAGATACATTCATCCCCATCCCCATTCCCTGGCGTGGTGGACACAGTGCTCACTATTGCCAACAAGGATATTTCATTCTTATTGACTCTGTGCAAGTTTGATTGCTTTTCTAATTAAGATACATTTTATGGTAATCTACCAAGCCCCTTAGACTAAATCACTCACTTAATCTGTTGTTAGTGCCCATATGTTTACAGCTTTCCAGCCTGCTGCAGCATATTTGCTTTGCCATGGCACTGGGGAAGTTTAGTGACAGATGAGCCGCTGTGCAGCCATTCAGGTGGCACAGAGCCCTTCCACCCAGACAGCCTGCGAACGGCACGGACAGACAGACAGACAGACAGCCCCAGCACCCCGTGGTTTGGAGAGGAGAGGAAAAGCGCAGCACCCAGAGACGGCACCCCATGCTGATCACCTGCCTCTTCCCCTGTCTCTACAGAAGGGCTCAGCACATCTTTATCATTCCCCTCTTTTTTTTTTTCTTCCTCCAAAATAAGAGGTTGTACATGACAGGAGAGGAAGGCTGAAGAGTAATGTCACATCTCTGGCCCCACAGCTCACTTACCGAGGAATTTCACTGCAGGTTCAAGGGCTCTGAGCAGCCCTCCTCGCGAAAGGTAATGATCACATTTGCAAACTAAGGACAGGCAGGCTCAGACTCTCCATCTGCACCGGACACTGAATTAAAAACTGAACCAGTGCTCCACAGTTCTGCTCCCGCTGACCCTGCAAGCCCGGACAGGAGTGTGTCCCCCCGGCCCCAACCTCGCCTGCAGCCCAGACACACCGATGGGCCCCTTCCAACTTCTTCAGGGCTAGTGCTGTGCCGCTGCATACCCTGGCAAGGAGCAAAATCTCTCCTTCAGGCCCACCCAGGCTCTCTAGCAGCCTTGCATCGTGCACAGGGACACGCGTGTGCTGTGCTGTGCTGTGCTGGCAGGCAGCAGCTTCATCTCTTCATCTTCCATCAGGCTGCCCACGCTGGCTCTAGATGAAGGAGCAGGGACGCGGTCTTGCTGGTCCCCAATCCACAGCTCTCCTCACGCCCTCCCACACGCCTGCATCCCACGGTGGTGCCCACACAGGCAGGGCTCAGGCAGGGACCCTGGGACCCCAGTTCTGCTCAGACCAGCCTCCAGCCCACCACACAGAAACGTGTTGTATTTACAAGGGTGTACCGCGCTACTATTTGAAATGACTTGCGCTCAGTTTGCTGAGGGAAAGAGAGCCCAAAAGCAAAATCAGGAAAGGCCAAACTCTAGGTCAAGTTGCCATTTGCCATCCTATATACAGGGAAATATTTCCTGAAAAAATTGGTCATATAATTGTACAGGAACACCTAATCAAGAGTGACATGAAAAATAAAACACCACCTGCCATCACCGGCAGTGACAGGCAGCTGTTATCCAGTATCAGTGTGAAAACCTTTCCCCCTGTAGAGTGCCTATTGATCTGAACAGGATTAACAGAGGATTAACTCATTAAGTCTTCCAAGGACTTGGCTAAAAAAGGAGTATCTGGAATTCAGGAGGAGCCAGATATTTAAGAAATCATTTTTTTAAGAATTTAAGGAATTTCTCTAGGAAGTGTTTGAGCTGCTAGAGGAGCAGCCAAGGAGACAGGTCTCAAAGGAAAAGAAGCTCTCCAGGATCCAGTCACCCCTAAAACAGTGCTTCAAACTCCTTTCAAACCCTGATGCACCTGCTAGAATGGGACAGCATGAAGTCAGCTTGCACAGAGGATGTCAAGCTCCTGGGGAGGTGATGGGAGGCTGCTCCAAGGACCGAGAGATGTGTGGCGGTTGGGGATACTGGACTGGGGAGAAGCTGCCCCCAGATCTGCTACCACCAAGTAGCTGGAGATGAAGGAGTACCACACATTGCAACACTTGGATGGGCAAAAGGCAGCAGATGGAAAATGATCAACACTGAAGACTTGTGTATGTACAACATGAGGAGCAGGGCAAGTTCAGCAGTACCTGTAGAGATGGCATGTAAGGCTGAAGGGATCATTTCTGCTCAGCCACAAGCCCCTCTGACAAGGGAAAGTCTTGCAGTGATGGACTTAACCACATTATTCACTTTGTGCCTTACACTCCTTTGGCTGCTGGCAACCTGCCTTCGGGGACAGGGGTGAGAACTCTCCATCTGCAGTCAAACCAACCATCCCTGGCCACTTTTCCTGCTTCAAAGCTATTAGGGTGAACTCAGCTGGCTTCCTTAACAAATCTCAGCCTAGCTTTCAGGGCAGTTTGGCACTCCTGCTATGATGAGTTATGTGGCACAAAAAAATCCAGGCCTTTAGTTTTGTGGGGTAGGAAGCAGGAATCGTGTTCCTTGGTTCATGCTACCTAACCCTTTCCCTCCCTGGGTCACTCAGATGTGCTCTTTGACCACTGTCCTTCTGTTCACCTGGAGGACACTGCACTGAGACAGATAACAAGGCTCAGCGAAGTTAGAAATGTTTAATACTCTCTTCAGGCAAGCAGAATTATGCTTAGAAAGTGTGTTAGATGTGCACTGCTCAGACACCCATACCCTCCACACCTAAGGAGTTAAATGACTGTGAAAAAGATAATTACTGTTATGTACCACGTTCTCTAACACTGTGCTGAGCACATACATTCAAGTTACGCAGCCAGTATAAATATATATGGTCCCTATGCAACAGCAACCATGCAAAACCCCCAAAAACACTGAACTGGGTGCCTTTTAGCTAAATTTTCAGGAACCAAGTGTGTGGGCTCGCCTGTACAATGCCCTGCACCCGGCTGGCTGCCCGTGGGATGCTGCGCGCCGTTACCAGCTCCTGCCCAGCCAGGGCTTGGGCAGCCACAGCACAGACCCCGGCAGAGCTCATGAGCCTGCTGCAGAGGAGCACACCACAAAATATTCCCTTCAGCTGCTCTTCAGGCAAGTGCAACTATTCCCTTCTGGGAAAAAAAAAAAAAAAAAAAAAAAAAAAAAAAAAAAAAAAAAAAAGGAGCAATTAACTGGTCCAAATGACTAAGCAGTTATTGGCAATCTGAAATTTCTCTCTGGAAGAGTTTAGCTTGGACTGGCAAGCACAACATCCTTACCTTCTCCAGTTACAGTCCTCTAACATCTTATTAAAGTACACTTCATACATCTATAAGCATACACTGGAATCATTAGACCCAGATTATTCTGGGTCTAATATGTTGAGTTTCCAAGCAGGTATATACGCAAACATGTTCTCACAGCAGCTCCAGCTTGTGCTACAGCTGGAGTTTTCAAAGGCTTCTGAAACACCAAAGCAGTCGACTCCCATGGATGTGATTCAAGTATGAAAGAATCAAAGTGCCAATAAATTAATCAATATAATGCTGCAAATTCAAGTATTTATTATGTAGTCCAAAAGTATTTCAGCTACATATCTTGTTTTCCTTAGCCTTACTATTACAATAACTGTCTTGTACTGCCTGGAAAGCACACTAGGAGCTATGACAGGGACAGATAAATAACTGCATCTTGCTGTAATTTACAGGTAACAAAGAGGTCTCCAAGTTAGCTGAGAGCGCTGAGGAATGAGGTTGCTCTGCTGTACAAAGCAGAGGCAGGGAGCAGAAAGTCAGAGCAACAGTCTATTGACCTGTATTAATGATGTTACACTCTGAAAAGCAAGCTATTTTCTTAATTACTTTAAAGATTTTCTTCATTTTATTAATACATTTTGATGAGGAGCATGTTGCTGCCAACCTGTCATACTTTAGATTGATCCTTCTAAGGTAATATGCAGTTAGATATTCATACTTCAGCTTGATCAATATTAAATAGCTCTAACTGATTTATTTTATATCAAATATCGCTGCATAATTTTGAGGCATATTTGATTTATAATGCCAGGAGGAACATGATAAATCAGAATTCCTTTTTCCTTTAATCCTCACTTTCCACATTTCTGATGTAAAATTAAGTGCAAAACAAGTTTTCAAAGCAGGCACCCCCCTCTGCAAAGCAAAACAAAAACTGAAAATATTTCAACATATCTAAAAACCATGGAACAGTTGGGCTCAGCATGAGAGTACAAAGAAATCAAACCTAAAACCAATTTTGTGGGCTTCACGATTCCTGTAAAACCCCACTTCACCCCCAAACAGTACAGTTACACAAAAAAATAGAGATGCATGTAACTTACCGGAGCAAATATCACCATACACATTTACAAAAGGATTTATAATCCAACTTGCGTCTCCTGAAATAAAGCAAGGTTTGTCTCATACTAAAAATAAAGGCTCCCAAAAGCTTCTCACAGGAGGGAGAGAGAGAGAGAGAGAGAGAGAGAGGGAGGGAGGGAGGGAGGGAGGGAAAGGGAGCGAGCGAGCACCAGCTCCTTGCCTCGCTTTTTATGAAGCAAATAAGGAGAGCAAGAAAATCAATGCCGAAAGTGAGATGATATACCAATCAGGCAGCAGCCTCAGCCTTATTTGCAGAGGGATGGCAAAATGCTCATATTATTAGACAATGACTACACACAGCCTAAGTAGAGAAAGTGAATACTTTTCCCTCGGTGAGAGGCTGATGGCTTTGTTGTGGTGCAGGTACCACCACAGCGGGCTGGGAGATGCAGCCCCTTCCTCCCCACCGCTCACGCAGCATCACTTTAGTCCTTGTGTGTGCTCTGGAGGACAAACAGTTTACAGTTCTGGGCTAAACTTGCATGAAGCTTAAAGATCCTCCGAAGCTCTGACACTGTCATCGGAGCAGTGCTTCTTCACTGCTGGATTTGGGGGCTTTTTGGACTCTCTGTTGTATTTTGAGATGCCTTTCACTGCATCTCAGGAAACAGCCCCACAGCTACAGCAAGAAGCCCATCCAGAAAGGGGAGAAGACCTCTCAGGTCTCCCATGCTTTCAGGTGCATTGACCTCCTCCTGTACTCGCACAGGACCGGACCTCCAAAGCATCTTCTTGGAACTTGAGCTTTTGCACCTTTCTGTGTACCAGAGAAAACCTACAGGAAGCCCATGGGTTCCCTTGCACAGAAAAGGGAAAATTTCTGTGCTATTAATTGACCAAAACAAAACCTTTGCTGTGCCCTTGTGTGTGTTGGCAGGAGGAGGAGGAGAAGGTAGCAGGAGGTAAGCTTGTTGCCTCCAACATACAGGCACCTGCCTGCGAATGGGACACATCGGTGGCAAATGCATGTCACTTCTTTGGAAAGACGCCACGCTTGCTTCCCCCTGGCAGCTGTACAAAGACACAAACCGCACGCTCCCGTCCCTGCAAACCTCCTCACGAGAGGGGTCTCAGGCTGGCCCCGTGTCTCTGCTCAGCGTTCAGGACTTCAGCACGTTAAGAGCACAAAATGGATCCACGGATCCCTCTCTGCAAGGCACCCGGCTCTGCGCTTACCCCGTGAGCCTCCGGCACCACCAGCCCATCTGAGACCGTGAATCACGCTCTGTGCTATTTATTTATCAGCCCTGCGTTTATCACTGTTTTGCCCTCTTTTCTACACACTGCATCAAATATTTTCAAATACATGTGACTTAAATGAGACACAAGGTGAACTTTCTTCTATTTGGAGACAGAAGTTACTTGCTGGTACACAGAAACATCTGCTGGGTGACAATAGTTCTCTACTCAGCAAAACCCCAACACAATTGCTTTTCCCCAGCAGCTTGGGATTTACATTGTGCAGGAAGAGCTGGAATTCACAGGGAAAATGCTGAAGACAAAACCAAGGAGACTGAATTAATCTGATAATTCAATGTATCTTTTTGGGGCTTGCACTTCTAGTGCAATCCAGGCACAGAGGAGACTCCAACAGCCCTTTATGAGCCCTGAACCTCCAGGCCCCTTTCCCACGAGCAGGAGCCGCATTGCCACACTGACAGATGTCACTGCTGATGATGTGGCCCCACGTTTCCAGCAGATACAGCCTGATGCCAGCTGACGCCGTAATGAGGAGACATAGTGGTGCTGAGAGAGTTCTCCAGGCTGAAGCACTGCTCTGCTGCTCGGTGCATTTTAACGTACGTGGAAGCATTTGTCAGCTACCGTGCACACTGCCCGAGTCCCAGCCACAAAGGCTAAACAACTCGGCGCCTCTGGGCTGCAGAGCTGGCTAGCATTTGCCTCCCACGGTACTGCGAGCAGCCCTTTATCCACGCAGGAACTGCTCTCTGCAGCCGCGCTCACGCCATGCAGGCTGCAGCAGTGTCTCAGCATTCGCCTGGTTAGCACTGGCCAACAAGCCTTCCTCCCCGAGGACAGGGCTCACACATCTCACTCCTCCTTCCCTGCCACCTCTAGAAAAGACCGAGCAGCCCAGACAAGGCGTGGAGGAGGTTTTATAGGAAGAACACAGACCCAAAGAGGAACATGAACCAAGAGCCAGCAATGGGCAAAAGTGACTTTTGGACCACACAAAACTTACCACCCACTGCATCAGCACAAAGGGTGATGCTGGCTCCCCCACAGCCCTGGAAGAGCTCTTCTCCAGCCTGTGGGTTCCTGGGTTGTTGTCACACATTGGTGGAGCATGGCAGGAAGATGCTCAGCTTGCCTGAGCTCCCCAGCTGATACATCTCATTGCTCCCGGCCTTTTTCATTGCATTCAGCTCTCCAGCTGGCACTGAAACTTGCTGTATCTCATGGTGACCAGCCTCTTTCTGCAAGGTGTGACAGTAAGTGAAATGCAAACACCTCTCATTTTCATTTTCCAGTGAGATAATTTTATTTTCCCTTCCCACATCTAACAACTGCTGTTACTTAAACTCACTGAAGTCTTCTAAAAACTTTGAAAAACGTCCATTAAAAGAGTTTTTCAGAGGCAACCCTGGGAGCTTCCATGTCTCAGCCCTCTAAAATATATGCCCATGTGGGCACCTGTGTGGGATGTGGGGGTGGAGGATGCAGTTTTAGCTAGAGCACGACGGGTTGCAGCAGTCAACGATCTGTCCTGTTGCGTAGCTCCTTCAAACAACACTGCAACACAGACTCCACAAAATAAGGAGATCAAAACCTGCTTTTTTTTTTTTCCCAAACCAGTGACACGCCATGAATGCTGTGGATCAGGTCTAACATTGCTGAAAGCAGATGTGTTGGTGTTTGCTGACAAGGCAAAACACTTGTCAGGCTGCGGCGAACCCTGCAGGCTGGTGCTTTTTTCAGCTTTATTAGACTCCTTTCAAAAATTCGTCTGAAATACTGGACGGGGCACTCAGCATCACCAAGCATAAAAACAGCTGCTGCCAATGCCAGCGCTGTTATGACACGTCTCTCTCTGTGCTGTATCAGAGCTTTCCGCTTTTCACTTTAAAGTTGGGAGTTTCAAAGCAAACTAAAAAGCTTCAGGGGATTTAAGCACCAAACTCCTTTAGATACTACTGAAAAGCTGTACAGATTTTGTGGCAGATTTCCGCCAGCTTTGCCACATCACTCAGGGTCTGAAGAGATTTAATCCCTGCCTGTAGGAGGTTTCATGGCCAACACAGCTAAAAGGGCTGCAGCCTGGGGAGAGAGTTCTCCTCCCCTGGTACAGCAGTAATCACGGGAGGCAACTGCACAAAGGCAGCGTGAGACAGGGCTGCTCTTCTGGCTCCCCACCGTGCCTTGCTGTGCCTTCCCACAGCCCCCAGCCCACCCCAGGGTACCTACAGCCAACATAGTGGGAGCCCAAAAGCACTGGTTACACTCAGACCCTCTCACTGCTGTGTCACTTTACTCTTGAGATACTTGCTTATGTTACCCCAGGAGCCCTGTTTCATGCTTGCAGGTGTGCGTGCAGATTTACAGATGCCTATAAAATCCCATACTGGACAGTAAAGAGGAAGTTTTATTGGTCTTGCCGTGGAGGATCTGGGCTGGAGTTTTTTCAGCATCAAGGTCCTCAGCTCTGCTGCACCCACGCTCATCCTGGCCAGGCTAAGGCAGGAGCAGGCGGCACCACCACGGGCCCTTTGGACTGTGGTACTACATCTATGCCCACCCCACGTGTGGAGGAGCTAACGAATCTCATCAGAGCCTCCATCCTACCCGTGCTGTAGAGAAAACATCAATCAGGGCAGCAGCAGCCGTGTGAGCAGGCTGGAGGCTGGCAGAGGGGCTGCAGCCCTGGCCGGAGAAGGGAGAATCAGCCAGCCTGGAGCCACTGCTGCAAATAACCCATCAGCCCAGGAAATATTAAGATGGGCTGCCTGTTTGCCAACAGGGATTTTCACATTTCCCTCTCAATCTTTATTTACATTTGGGAAGACAGAAAATTAACAAAGTCTGAGATATATAACTGGAAACCATTTGTTTTTCTTGTGGAAATGGAACGTTTCCTAATGAACCTCCCCTCCCCCTGTGCCATTCGGCTCTGGATGCAAATATTGCTGCGAGTTTATCAATCTGCGGCTTGTTTCACGCAGTTTGCAATGCTAATGAGTAAACCAATTTTGACATATTATGTAAGCCAGTTTCTGAAACAGAGATTCTTGGCAGGCCAAATGTAAACACAGACACCCTCTTGCATCCAATTTAAATGAGCATGTTGCTGAAAGCACTAAGGGCTTGATTCTGTTGACTTATTCCTGATTTACTCCAGTGAAAAAAAGAAAAAAAAAAGAAAAACAAACCAACAACAAAAAAACACCTTTCAGTTCAATTACTAGTGCAGGAGCAATTTGCAAAATGGATCTAATTTTGTAACAAGGAAATGTGGTGGACTAAGCTAATGCAAGGTGGTGACTCGGGCACTGTATGAGCATCAGCACAGCACACGACTGGGAGCATGCATGCCATTCCAGATGGAGTTAATGGAGCAGATGACAGCTCGCCTCTCTCTCATCCTCCCAAGCCAAATTCAGGTCCAGGTAGTGCCCCTCCAGGGGTTGGGCCACCCCCAGAGGGTGACTACTTTCAGCCTCCCTGCTCTTCTACCATGGCTTTGCAGAAGGACATTGCCTACCTGGGCAGTAGGCAAAGCCCAAGAGCAGCACTGAGCATTTCGAGCCACATGCTGCCCCTGCTGCAGTTACACTGGGAACAGTGGGAACCCAGGGCAAGATGGAATCTTCCTCTCACCACGCGCTGAAGGTCTGCACCACACCAGTGCACGCCTGGGTGCTGAGACCCCATGAACTGCTCACTACCTTGACCATCCGGCCCAAACCTGGCAGCTGGCCCCACCACAGAGACAGGTGGATACCCTGATTCATGGATTATATCCAGTTTTTACAGACTATGATCTCAGCACCAGACTGACGTGCTGGAAAGCACGTGCATTGGATGGCAGACTGCAATGATGAGCAGCACACCTTCCAATGACACAGGAATGAGCTGAAGGTCACAAGCTCAGAGTTAAGGGTAGGAGAAAGGAGGAGGAATGCATTTTTAAAAGCCCCTGGAAAAAAAAGGTTCTTCCAGAGATATGAACAGGATTTTATTAAAGTGAAGAAGGGCTGGAATCAAATCTTTCATTTGCACGTTTTCCAGTACCATCTGGACCATTTGCATCTGCCAAAAGCACAGCATATTTCTGTTGAGCAGTGGAAGCAAATGGGGTAGGAGCATACCTGGAGGTGGCCTCTGCCCTGCTAACGGGTCTGGTCATTGCCAGAGTGGCTTAAAACTAAAACACAAGTGTGAAGTTGAACTGCAACGTTCCTGCCACAGCACAGGAAAAGAAATAAAATAAGAGACGTGCTCTGCTGTGAGGTCAAGCGTGCTGCTGCAGAGCGTACTTACTGCATGTGTCAGAGATCCCACCAGACAGTAGAGCTGCAAAACACAAGCTCACCCTCAATCCCCATCACAACATCAGAACTAGGATATCATTTGTCATACCTGGTTCTTTTACATTATAAAGGAGAGCAAGAGGAAAAATACTTTCAGCCTCCAAGCAAATACCCCATCCCGAGCTTTCAATGATGAGAAGCAGCCCGAGAGCTCTTTCCTTTGTGCTGCATAGTGCTTTCAAGCGATGATCATAAGCAGCCGAAATGCCACATATCTGCTGG